CCCATCCCAGCCACATCGTCTCTTATTTATCCATACACCAGGATTATAACTGTCAGTCACTTCTTTGAATGGTTTTCCTCTCATGTGCCAAAACAATAAGCTTTCCCATTTTTAAGAACATTTTAAGCCTGCATAATTTCTGTTTATGGAAAAGATTCTGCCATTCTGTCAAGACTAAATCCTAGAATTGAAATCCTTTATGTTGGATCTTTTTAAAAGTTAGATATCCCACAGCTCATTGTAGTGACATCACTGAAAAGAAATTGTGTGAAATATCAATAACGTCACTCTGTATGCAATTTCTACATTACACATCGTTCAAAACATGAATCCCTCTCAATCCTAATCTCAGTCAAATCTGAATAATGCAGAATTATATTACCATTTAAACACTGGATCACTAATTAAGATCACTAACTATGTTGTGTTCTATTCATGTGGATTTTAGGATATTTCCAACAATATATTGTGTTATATGGGTAGAATATATTTAACAATAAAAAAATGAAGTTACTGCCAGTGCTCAACAACTGAATTTACTGAAAAAAACCCCACTAAAATCTACTTCTACTAAAATAACTACATCATAAACCGGTTTTCATGCGTCATGAGGTGGCCAGACTAATGAGTCTACATAACAAATCACCCTGCATTTAGCTGTCACTAAATTGCTCTGGTTGCAGATTATACATTGAACCATTAATGATGGGCTAATCCATTCCAAAAAGAAGAAAAAAATACACGGCACCTCATGCGAGTACTGCACAACCATGCCTGCAAATAGTGATGCTGATTAAAAAAGCAGTTTTTGTAGATTTAGAATGCCTATCTTAATTTGTAGTCTTGCCTCATTGGGAGACTGTTAGCAACAGCAACAGGAATGTTGAACATACTCTCAAATTAAATTATTTTGAGTCAATAAGTGACAAGTAATGATAACCTCATTAGGCCTTTTATGTCCACACATCGATTGGAAAACAGTTTATGAATGCATGATTGAGTGTGTGCACGCAATGGTTGATAATGATGTTGCACTTAAATTCTACCTTGATTAATATGGAATCTTATTAAAGTATAGGCTACCATTTTTTGGCGATTGAAACTTCAAAATATATGAAATTTGCACTTCACTTAATGCTCTCCTTGAGAAAGAACTGAGTTGTGCAATTAGTGCATAGACCATTAATACATTTCTCAGCTGAGAGTATTGGTTATTTTTAGCTAAGAATGAACTGGAATGTTCACAGTTGTTTTTTTTAAGTCTGAAGTCAGTCTTGTGGTATGTTTTGTTATGCAATGCTTTGATCTGATTTTCTCAGAAAATAAAGGTTTTCTAGGAGAACAGAGAGTATACTGGAAGCTGAAACAGCAAGAATAGAGATTTTCAAATATTCAGAAATGGTCATCTGTCTGATGCAATGGTTTGATCTGATTCTGAGTTGATATTAACTGAATACAATTTTTTTTCTAGCTATTCCACTTATCATCATCTGAAGCTTCTCAGAACTTTAGGGTTTTATGCAACTTTATGTACGTCACTGCTGCCTTTTAGATGGTGAACCACCATATTCTCCCCTGACCTGAGCTTCACAACAACTGCAATTTGCTAGTTTGAGTCTTACCTCACAGGCAAGGCAACATTAACTTTCCCCATAGAGAACGGGTGTCCAAATCACATCAAATAACCAATGGTGTGCCTCATGGTTCGGTTCTTGGTCCCCTTCTTTTTACATGACTTCATTTGCCCCAAGTATGAAGGCACTTCAAGGAGCTTTCACAGTCACTGCAATGCAGACAATATGCTGCTTGATATTGCAAACTGGTATTTGTTATATTTTTTTTTTTTCATAAAAATAAACACTGGTATGTAGCACATAGTTTAACACGCACTTTCTTATTCTCATAGTTATTTACAGGGCTAATGAATCATAAGTCTTGCACATTCACAGCCTTATTCTGCATTGAAAAATAAGGTGGATACTTATATCCAGAAGTGTAATGATTCTAATGTGTCCACCCCACACTTTTCAGATCATTCTTACTCCCATTTATATGTAATGAACTGAAAATGTTTAATATATTTTGTAGAATGCTAATAGAACTGAGGATTTTCATTGCATGCTAACAGAGAGACCCGTCCTTTAACCCTAACCTTGCAGCTGGATCCATTCATTATTTGCACTCGAAATGATAATGCCACCTATATTTGTGCACAGCTGCGCCATCTGCATTTCAAGAACATTCGTGTCACAAAAAAACGGAAAAGGAACTATTGTACATTGGTACAATTATTGTATTCATTAGAACTGGCAATGATCCATGATTAAGCCACTGAAATAATCTGGCTGACCCCCAAACCTCTTGGGAGCACAGTTAATAATACTGCCCTACAAAGCAAAAAGGCAGTAACTACGCAGAGTGCAGAACAGAGAAAAATGACTTTAAAGTTATCCTGTCATCCAGCCTAAGTAGTTGTAGGTAGATTATTGGACATGTGGCTGTTTTGTTACTTTATATTAACTTATTCTTTGTACATATCAATCCTCATATTAAATTTGATATTTTACCCCTATTTTGCAGTTACTGTATTCTTGCTTTGTATTACTTACCAAAAACGTGGCACCATACCAAGGGAAAAGGGAAACTACAGATTCTCCAAAAACTATTTTGCCACAACTTGGGCTCTGAGTCTGATATACTGTGTTTGAAATAATTGGAACCATTTGGACAACATTTTCAAAAATGTTGTGTTGCGAAACTAGTGTTGCGGAGCGGGCGTGTTACGGATATGTGGTGTAAATTTTTAGTAATCAAAAATCATGTCTAATTAATTGAAATCATGAAACTTTAATTATAAACTATTATTAAACTTATACAATATTTTAAAAACAAACATTTTTGGTCAAACAACATGCTGCACAATGAGCTTTACTGTTAAAATTAAAACATTGAAGAAAAATTGTGATTATTCCTTTAAAAATTAAGTTTTAATCTTAATTTATTTGTAGTGTTAGTATTATTATTACATTGAGACGTTTCTAAATTCTACTGTACAGCAGTAATATATTTCTTGTCAAGTTAAACCGAACTTTTATTTTGACGGGTTGCCGTGAAGACCGTGTTCTCATATAGGCAAAAAAAAAACAGCTCGAGCGTCACACACGTGCTTCAGCGCGCGCACGGGCGTATGTGTGTGTGTGTGTTAGTTTGGTAGGGGAACAATTAGGGGAAACACTGCATCTCAAACAAAATTTGTGTGAAGTTAGAAGCGTGAAATCGCAAATGTTAAAACCGTCCCGTGAGGATGCCGCGAAATCAGCTGTGTGTTCACCATGGCAACAGTAACTACACTGCGCAGCAACACAGTTATTTTTTGTTAGGTAAAACATAGCAAGAATACAGTAATGGATGTTACTGTACTCTTGCTTTGTTTCACTAGGGCTTTTTGCAGTTACTGTACAAACGACTACCATTTTTCTCCAAAACGACACACATTTGAGATAAGATGTTTTGTCACATAACAAAGGATGCCTTGAATGTCATGAAAATGATAATAACTCATTTTTGACCAAAAATGCAGTTACTGCCTTTTTGCTTTGTAGGGCAGAATACTCCATCCAAAAAGCAAACTCGAGGACCGATTTATTAATCCCAGTTATTTCCATTTAATTCGTTTTCTCCCTGAATCTCTATCACTGCTTGAAGAGTTTAGATAAAGTTCTGCAAAAAATGAATGATTAATGTTTTGTGTTATTGCTAAAACAATTTTAACATTCCATTTAAATTCAAATATGATTTTTTTTCAGTGATTCCATTTCTATATCCATGCCACAAAAAGGTATTTTAAAAATAGAATGCACTTAACGCATGGGATGCATTTGCACCAAACAGAAGAGAAAATCTGGGTTGTTCAGCAGCTGGTTAGACATGTTCTTGTTTAGCCCTCCAGACTTTAGAGCTGCACAAGACACACAAAAATCTGACTAGGTTGAAAGATTATAACAGATTACAATTTATTGAATGATTGACTGATTGAACAGACAACAGATAGAGGATGTTTACAATGTTGGAATAAAAGGACACACTCTGTAGTAATATAGACATAAAAAACACACACAAACCAGAAACTATTCCCATTCTTCACCCAAAGAAAAAAGGTGTGCAAAATTTAATACAATCCAGTTGTGTGCTATACAATTTTAAGCCTCACTTTTAAGAAAATGTTGTAATTTATTTGTTTAATTTAATTTATTACAAATGTGTTTTTCTTCTTTTTATTTTAAGAGGTTCCACTCTATTTCCTTAATACGTAATGAAATTCAAACTGGTCAAAAAAAGTGCAATAAATCACTGCAGGCAACTTTGGCACAACTTTAATTTAAAAAAAAAAAAAAAAAAAAGGCAGCAATTAAATTTACACTTTCCGTTTTAGTGGATTATTTATTTACAGTGAAAAGATAAAGCTAAACTTATTAAGTGTCACTGAGATCTACCTGATCTCATGAACACAAAGTAATCTATCAAGAGTTTTTCCAGATTGTTGCCTAATGATTGAGTAATCGACTTTTCCTGAAAGTGGAACTTTCCATTAAATCATTGACTCGTGGAAGAATAATACCATTATGAACATTCATCAAAATCTTATAACTTACAAATGTGGTCTCTGTGCTATCTTGAATGAAGCAATATTTTACGTGTTCATTTTAAATACATGCATAAAGAAAAGCAAGTAGCCTACTAAACACATCTGGGACTTTTTACAAATAGGCCCTCAAATCTGGATTAAAAAAACGACTTTATCTTCAAACAAAATTAAACTACAAAGGGAAGTGCAATGATAGCTAGGCCTAGTTATTCTGCGTTCGTTAATTCTTGCAATACATATGTTTTAGGCTTTAAAAGACTCCGAGTAGGCTAAACAGCCGATACAATGATGATGCAAAAAACTAAACAACTGCCTATGTGAATGAGGCAAACTCCTAGTTTGCACTCTAAAAAAAGACGGATGAAACTTTACTCTTGGAATGGCTATACACACACAATTAAATGCAACACATTTTGGCTCATTCGCGACAGAAAACATACTCTGTGTAGCTTGTCCAGATTTTGTCCTCGTTTGGGTCACTGCTGGAATAAGCGCACGTGCCAGTGGAGCTGCACGCGACCATGTGGAAGCCAAACTCTGACAGTTTGTCAAACGCCTGCTCGAGAAAATTATATTTCAGATAATAGCGTGACGTGTACCTCTCCGGAGGTCGGTCCGGGTCTCTGCTCTCGTTCAAAGTGTCTCCGAACACCTCCTTAGCCAGAGAAGTTTTCCCGCACACCGTGATCCTCGCGACCCGCCTGAATTTGGCGTCTGTTTGTATGTCTCTTCCGATTGTATAGGAGCCCCGGTAACCGACTGTGATGTAGCCCGACTTTTTGGATTCCAGGGAAGGAGAATGAGCGGTGCTGGCGACGGACAGCGTGCGAGAGGTGTCGGGTCCGACCAACGGATTCGCAGTTGCGCTCGGCTCCTCCGAGTCACTCTGGCAGATCTCATCTGTGATGGAGTTGTTTTTACTCATTTTGGGACACAAGAGCTTGGACAGGTCCCTCAGCTGAAAAAACTCAGCCTCTCGCTGTAATTTGCTCTTTTCTGGAAAATAGTCAGGCAGAACCAGATGTAGATCCCGTAGATAGTCTAAAATGTAGCGGAAAAGAAACCCGTCCCTGTCCAGAAAAAAGCGACCTTTGCTGTCCCGTGCCAGTTCTGTCGGTGCCTTCTTACTAAACATGTTCCACAGGAGAGAATCCGGTACGGCTATTAAAGTCGTATGCCGTGTCACATACACTTGTCCTCCTACATTTAGTTCAATGATGTCAGAAAACGGGGACCTGGAATCCGCGCCGTTTGATATTCCACACTCGGGATCTGCCAAAGCCATAGCGTCTCTTCAACTGAAGATGACAGATATTCGCGATTGTGTGCTACGGTTTTCCCAAAGACTCAAGATAAGGGCAGATGCTTGTTTAAATAGGTTGTGGGAGGGGAGAGAATACGGCTGATGTTAACGCTTCATTGGCAAAATGTCGTGCCTCCTGCTGTCAGTGCTACACTGACTCTTAGTTGATCTTAGAAACAAAAGGTTTAAGACATATAACTTACACTTAAATGTAAATAATAAAATTAGGAAAAGCAAAGGAATATGGCAAAACGAATCTTCTCACACACAACAGTCTTATAATGAATTAGTGTTAATTGAATTTTCTTCCATGCCCTTCAAGACAAAGGAGTCCCAGCTAACATGAGTCCAGCGGTCCAGTGGTGGACCACCGGTGGCAAAGTCGGCGGCCCACTGGCGGACGCCGCCGGCGGATCACTGGCGTTTTGCTCATCGTTATTCTAGCGGACCTCCAGCGGCAGACGCCGCTTTCCCGACGGTGGTCCGCTATCGTGCCGCTGGTTTATAATAAGTGTTTTCTGGCGGACCACGGTCGGTCCACGGTTTATAATCAGTTACTCATGCTAACCAAAATGGCCTTACACTATAATGGATAAAAAAAATAAGCAATGTACACCAGTCTCAATAGCAGTTGCAAATATATTTTTATTAGATTAATTTTCAGTGGACAGATTAAATTAACAACACATTTATATTTATCAGATTATTTTACTCAACGTGACTATTAGTCAAGTACATTATAGGATAATTTAAGTATATTTGTAGTACCCTTATGAAAATTAACCATATGGTTTTACCACAGCATTTGCAGCATTTTCACAACAACCAAGGTTTAAAAACCTATGGTTATAGTCATGATTACCATAATTTTACAGCAATTATTACAGCAATATTACTAGTTGAACCATGGTTTTGAAAAAAAATAACATGGTTGATAGTTTTACCATAGTAAAACCATATAGTGCTCTTCACAACACAAATCGTTTCAAAGAAGCTTTACAGAAAATGCATGTTCATGGTTACAATCACAAAATATAATTTAATCAGCCAGAGGCGACTGCTACTCACTGGAGAGCATCTTCTGGCAACAAAGTAAAGTCCATAAGATACAAGTCATGAGTTTAAAGTCATGTTCAGTTAAGCCTGGAACACACCAAGCCGACGGTCGGCCGTCGGGCAGTTTTTGTGCGTCGTCCGACTGAGTTTCCTCGGTGTGTTCCGCACGGTTCCGTGCCGTCGGCTGAAATTGGTCCTCGTCGGCTTTGTTTCGGCCGATTCGACATGTTGAATCGGCGTCGGGCCGTCGGTGAAAGAGAGAACTCTGATTGGCTGTTCAGCTTAGTGAAAGAGTCAATGCAGGAGAATAATAGCAAAACAGCGAGCAAAGAAGTCAAAACTTCTTTGAATATTTCAATATTAACACGAGCGGAGTGGAATAAAGAAAGTGTTTAGCAGGATTGATATTCAGAACGGTAAGCACACACTGCTTTGTTTATGGTTTGTGTATCTGCAGCCGACAGCGTCGGTTTCCCTTTTTGAATGACGAATATAGAGAATATATCTGCAGAAATAGACAGTTAATTGTCTCATTTACACGCAGGCGCAGAACGCGCATTCTAGCTGACAGTCGCCTGTAGTTCTCTCGGTGTGTTCAAGTGCAGCTTTTTACCCCGACGAGAGGCGACAACACAGTCGGCTTTCATCGGCGCTAGTTCGTCAGCGTCGGCTTGGTGTGTTCCAGGCTTTAAACAGACAAATTTTTGCTATCCTTCAACATTTCAAAAGGGCAAGTTTGCAGATTGTCTGTGAAACCGGGCCAATGCAATATAAGGTTAATATCTGGCAGTTTTTTATGTCCATCTATAGTTGTCATCATCTGAAGTCTTCAAGAGTGTTGGTGTCATTAGAAGTCTTCACAAGTGAGGCTGGATCCAAACTGGAGCTGCTGTAATATCTAGTAAACTTGCCGAGCATCCTGAGATAGAAACAGGGAAACAATAGGAGAAAGATTAGCATACCTGCTGTAATATTTCAGGCAAAAGATGATCATGTGCACTTTTTACTATTTTATAGTCTTATAGTGCAAGATTATGAGATGTGTTAATTGAATGCTTGAATAAAGAGATGCGTCTTTAATCTAGATTTAAATTAGGATTGTGTTTCTGGGCCCCAAACATTATCAGGAAGGTTATTCTAGAGTTATTCCCTCACATTCAATTGAATTAATAGGAACTTGTCTGATTTTAATGAGAAAACATGACTAACGAGTCAGCATTTTTATATTTGAACACCATACATTATTACAATGCAAACGTCCTAAACATTTCTGAGTATTATCAATGTTAAAAACAGTTGTGCTGATTAATATTTTTGTGTAAACCAGTGTAACAATTTATTCCATTTTCTTTTTTCTCTCTCCAGAATTAATTGTTAAATAGACCCAACATACGTAAATGGTAGTTTATACTACTGTTCAAAAGTTTGGGTTCAATAGAATTAAAAAAATTAAATAAATTCATATTTTTATTCAGCAAGGATGCATTAAATTGACCAGAAGAGAGAGTAAAGATTTCTGTTTCAAATAAATGCTGCTTTTTTCCTTTCTATTCATCAAATAATCCTGAAAAACACAAAAATATGAAGCAGCACTGTTGTGAATTAATTAGAATAGAAATGTTTAATTAATTATCTTTAATAATAACAGAAACAGTGTTGTCATTTACAAGGTTGTTCAGCTTTAAGAAAAGTCGACCCAAAATGCATCGGGGCGAGAGCGCGCAGATAGAATAGAGAGAAGAGTGATGAGATTGACATCCATGTGTGTGCGCTGTATTCATTTGTAATCCTGTTCGTAAACTTCAGTAAACAGTTAGTTTTATGTAATTCAAGTCGTCAGTGGTCATTACTGCTTAAGGAAGAAAAGATATGACAAGCACAACTGATTTCAACACTGATAATAATCATAAATGTTTCATCAAATTATAATATTAGAATGATTTCTGAAGGATGATTTGATGCTTCTCCATAGAAAACAATTATTTAAATGTTTTAATATTATTTCACAATATTATTGTTTTTACTGTATTTTTAATTAAATAAATGCAGTCTTGGTGAGCATAAGAGACTTCTTTCAAAACATAAAAAAATTGTACCAACAACATTAGTGTGTTTAACATTAGTGTATGTTTGAAGTTTTAGTTTAGTTCCTTTGTCCACAAGTGGAAATTTGTCTTTGGTTTAGTTTTACTTACTAGTCATGTATGGTTGATGGTGCCTTAGAGATGATGATCAGCTCAACTCTGCTACGATGCAGGGCATCAGCATGGAAGATCTAGGAACACAACAAACCATTTGTTACAGAGCCAACAATATTATACAATAACAGGTTTATTAAAAGGAAAGAAGCTACAGCAGAAGTGAATTGCAGAAAAGAGAAAGAATATACAGAAAATGATTTCTTAATTAGGATAACAGAATTTATGTTTTTAGGTTTACTTATCCATTATGTTGTGTTCAAACCCCTATAACACTTGTGGTGTTCCTGGTAAAAAATGACCGGCCTTTAAAGAAATAGCTTATAAATCACTTGTTATGCATATTATCACCCAATATTGGATTCAATCTTTTTGTCAACTTGTTCTCTTTTAATTAGTACTGGTTTTATAATTCTGTTTGCATCTGATTAATCATAGGCCTCATTTATCTAAGAGTAGGCATCTCATTTTCTTTGTAAAAAAAGCATTATTTATAAATAATTTCGAAAATATTAAATACAATATGAACATCTTCATGTACACATATGTACATGTGTGCTTGCAAACATTGAGCCCTTGGATCTGTGCATGTGTCGATACATGCAAACGCGCTTCCCAAACAAACACACACATTAAAACACACAAACTATTTTGAGTATTACACATTCTTTTCCACAGAAAGAAACTTGATCCTACCCTGAACTGCATCTAATATCCATTCATCTATCTGACATACACTCTCACACTCACACACACACACACACACACACACACACACACACACACACATACTTGTTTTTGCTACGTTGTGGGGACTCATGACTAGAAGGTGACACGTGGGGACAGCAATTTCTAAATACAATAAAGCCATCATTTTAAGTCAGAAGTGTCTGGGGGAATTTTTGAATCCCAAAAATCAACTTTATTATCATAAATTCTTAATTTTAGAAAGCTTAATATTTGTCAGGTTTTTCTATTCTGGTGGGGACGTCCCCATTGTGTCTTACCACAAACCACCACTGTGTGGCACTATTATGAGTTATCTGTAGATTAACGATTTTTTACACAAATTTAAACCTGTACCAGATTAACAATAAATATTAAGTTTAGATAATCATTAAAGAATTGTTTAAAAGGGAGAATTGTCTATATTTATATTTGTATGGATTTTTACTTCATTTTACAATTCACTAATTCCCTATATTTGAATAGACCATTTGTATGGATGTAAAAAGTGACAACAGCCTCACCTCACTTCCTGATTAACAGGAATCTATTTTTCTTCAACTCTGAGAATCTGAAAAGGTGCACATTTTGATAAATAAGACAGTCATGTTGTATGACAAGCAGGAAATGGTCATGGGGCATTGACCCCACGGGTATAATTGTGTTTGCTGAATAATGATCTGCGCATACTGGAATCAACTCTGAATTAAAACAGCACATGCCTGGCATTCAACAGGGTTGCGAAATATACTGCTATTTGTGTTTTTCTTATTCGTAATACTACAAATTTGTCACGTACAGAAACCTGGGAAGCCCCATGAGTCCAATATGTATTAATTCGTTGTGGAAAAAATCGCCAAACAATACAAAACAGTCTTTAAGCAGTGAGGATGATTTTGTTGTCCTCTCTCTTCTTAAAAAGAGAAAAAGAAAAGAGGAAATCTTTTATCCTTAAACTCAACACAAAACTGTATTATCTATCTGTATTATCTATCAATCTGGCATCTGTATGTCTTTATATCGGTCTGTTTATCCATCTATATTTTTTATGCAAGTGTGCCACAATTTTGGGACCACACCGAATTCTTTTGAGTAGAAGACATTTGACGTAGAACCCCCATAAACTTCCCCAAGAGAAGTTTGGACATTTGGGCTATTACAAAAAA